TACAGCTGTATTAGTAACGCATCTATATTAATATGTGATTTCTGAAAATTATTTTATCTTACGATTTCTTCTGTTTAGTATAAATAGCCATATTTTATAATAATAATAATTATTTTTTTGTAATGAACGTAAACCTTTTGAGTAACACACAATTGGTCATAAAGTACACATTTTTTATATATTCTTTCCTAATAATGTATAATTTATTACATATTTAACCTTAGCATAAAAACTCTTGATTTATGTTAACTGGTGTTTAATTCATTCATCAAATTCATTACTTAAGCAATAATAATAAAAATGTATTAATTATTAAATAAATTAATAACGTTTCTTAAGTATTTTTATTACATAATATATAAGTTTATGTTCTATTATTATATATAGAAATAATATTTATTATATACTTATAAATATCGATTAACGGTCCCTAATCACCACACATATAATACTAATGTATAATAATATATTATTATATGATAAAGGCACCGTGGAATATCGAGTACTAGCGGGGAGTGAATGTGACCAGACTTCTATGTTTCTATCGAGTGTTGTGGTTGTGTTAATTTATTGAAATAAATGTGATTTATTAGCGTGAAAGGAAGAGGTTGCTCATAGCCCCGCCCCGAGGAATATCGACTACTCGAGATGAGTGTGTGTCGTCTGGTGAGTAATAGTAAGTCATTTGTGAAAATGGAGAGGGTTGAATTCCCCCCATCCCAAAGAATATCAAGTACTCTCGGGAGGGAATGTGACCAGACTTCTGTATTTTTGGTGATGTATATATATGTGTTTTATGTTTTGTTTCTCTTCTGTATGTGACAACCTGAGGTACAAACGAGAAGCTAGTATTTTAGGATATCGGCGCGGTACACATTTAAAAGCAGCGAGTTAGAAACCATATCGAGACGCTCAAATGGCTCCAGTTTAAACCAAAATACTGGCGAAAGAAGAGAAAAAGAAGGAAAGCACGCAGAGGGCCGGTGATGACAGCTGTTTGTCGGCCCGAAGACATATATATTATTTACTGATTTCCATAAAAAAAAGTGATGTCACTAATTCTTCTCATTAACCGAGGTCTACTATGAACTTACGATATTGAATGAACAATGTCGGTTGACCCTGTTTTGGTGTTTTTGGTGGAGCGACGTGACGGACACCTTTGGAGGTCATGTCGAGACTCGGAATGACTCAATTGAGACTGAACGAGGGAAGCTCAATGTTGTTCACTTAACGATTCGAGATATGGCTCATCCCAAAAGCAAAGCTGACCGAAAGAATATCGCTTCTGACAGATTCCATTTTATATACTCAATTTTACAAACAAAAGCTACCTAGTAGCAAGTCAAATGTCCACTTTCAAACGAAAACAAATTGTACAAAAAAGGTCTTGCATTGATATCACATTTATTTTTTTATATAGTATAGGTTGTTTTTATATACGAAATCATTAAGAAGAGAATTTGATGTATTATAATGTATTATAATGTATTCGTAAAAGCAGAGAGTCAGTAACCAGATCGAGATGCTCAAATGGCTGCAGTTCAATACAAAATACGCGAGAAAGACAGGAAAGAGAAGGAATACATGCGGAGGGCCGGCGATGACCTCAGCTGTTTGTCGGCCCATAAACCTTCCACTTTATATATATATAATGTATTCAGTAATTTTTTAAAAAATTGACCATTAACAGTATTGTACAATTAGGCGTTAAGTGATTCGTTATATAATAAAAGGATAATTGTGTTTTTTGCTGTGTCAAGGATGTAAGCATGTAACAAAAAATTACTACGAATCATGAGAAAATTAATTCTGGGAAAAACATCAGATACGTAGTACCGAGTAGACAAAAGAGAATATTAGTTAATAGAGATTTTCAGACCGAATCAACCGATTAGTGATGATAATTATACATTTCCTTTGTTTTTAATTGGAAAACATATTTTTTTATATCCTTGAATATTTAAAAAAGGACTTTTACAAAATAAGTTCGATTTTTGTAATAAAACCCTTATGTTACCTGAAACGTAATAAGACAAGGTTAGTTTATCTATTCACGAAATCCGTGTATCGCTGCGTTCTAATAACTTCCAAAAATATTACGCGAATGTTGCAATTGACCTCGGTAAAGCTATGGACCTACATTACGTACAAATTTGCGGCAATACGCGTATCAATTTCAAGATACTTATTTGTTTTTATTAAATGTTTGGTCGTAAATCATTTTTTCAAAACTTTCTAGTCATAAAATTTATAAACTTCAAATCTACTGATTATTGCAAACCTTTAAAATTATATGTACATAGCAATTTTACAATACGAATACTGATAAAAGAAACTTTCTGGTTTTCAATACAATTTCACAAATACATTGTATAAAACACTTTTTTATTTTATGTTTAATACAATTAAAATTCCAACGAAAGACCCATAATAGGCCAGTCAGTAGTACAAAAAATAAAATATTTTAAAATCATGAACAACATTCGTTTAAAATTAAATAGTATACTGAACAGCAAAACGTTTCTCTTCAATTAACTCCGGTATTCAGAACTGCCGCTATTCTTTAAAGTTAGCGACATTCTAGGGCGACATACATTATATATAATAGAAAAAAGTTACATGGAGCATAAATATCGTTAATTGGTCTTTTTGGTCAAATTGGTCTGCCTTTACTTGCTATTGACAGGCTCGTTTCGGCTCTTTGCCATCTTCAGTCTGTGTGTTTTCTGTTTACTCGAGTCCATGTAAGATTAAAAAAACACGCATCTTTTATCTACCGCTTTCTCTCACAGTGCTGTTGTATGTTGCTGGGCATGAATTCCATTTCGGCACTTTGCACCCATGTATTATGTGCATTTTTGGGAAATCGTAGACGTAGCTTTTACGCCATCGTCATTCAAAAGACTTGGCGGCTCAAATTCGCTTTCTTTGCACGTAATTATACACTGACCTGGCCGAGGTCATTTCTTGCCTGACCTACATTAGCTATTCACTACGGTTATTTCTCATCTTGGCCCAAGGCTAATCTCGGGTACTGCGAGACTCCACTACAATAGTAATAAACCGGCAACGCCGTTTTATTCATTTTACTGCTTAATAAATAGCCATTCATTGCCTTTTTCAAAACGATGATGCCTTTAATTAAACCGTTCGTATTTTTTCTTTACTATTAAACTTTTCGAATAATTAAAATATGATAAAATTATCCAACCAAAAATCATATAATTTATGATAATTTGACGTACTGTCTCGAATAAAAACCAATTCAGCTTACGAATTCCAAATTAAATTTATTTAAGAATGAATCTTACGTACTATCGTACTTATAAAACATAGTATTCAAAAATTGCTTAATATCATATCTCCCACGTTGAGAAAAAACTGTTGCAAAAAAAAATTCCACAAAGAAAATGTTTTTCTGTCCCACGAAATAGAAATTTACTTAGTTTAGGTTATGTTTTGATGATTAGTAATGTCCAAAACCAGTTTTACATTTTGGTATAAAACCCACCAAGACATATATAATTGGAACTGAAACTATTTGTTAATTCCTTCTAATATAGCTTAGAAATCCGGAAATATATGGGCGAATTTGAGCTAGAAACTGAGTACAGAGAAATATTTTAGGAATATATTTTCAAAACACATAAATAATATTATGTTTATTTATTGCCTATCAGAATCGAAACGTAAATAATAAGAAAAATTAAAATAAAATAAAACAAGAAAAGATAGTTGTTGATGTTGTTGAACAAACTAAACAACATTAGATAATTATTTTGATGATAGTATGTAAATTAGGTTGAATTGCTCAATTGTTTTCAAAATATATATTTTTTAATTAGATTAATAACGTAGGTAATGTTTGGATTTTTGGTTTATTGTTTTAAAAATAATTATTCATTGCTACGATTGTTTATCCTGATCAGACGTGTGATTACTAGAGAAAAATACTTTTTGCTTTTTATATTACATTGAATATTTTGTTGTTAAAAGGGTAGCGACAGTTTTTTTTGGATTAAAATTGTTTTTGTAAAATATTTTTTGAATATGAGATTCCGAGTGTTAAAAGTGTATGAAATAACTTTTTGAACTTTTTCAGGAATTTACAACCCTTTATCCCTTCGCTTTGCCAAGGCTTTCTTTTATGCCTTTTCTTCGTAAAAAATTACTTTCCCAACTAAAATATCGTTTCGATAAGAGAAATCGATGTTTAATGTTTTTATAGCGTATCAACTCATATCTCACGAAAAGTTGTACTTTCGGTACGTTTTCTCCGGAACCCGTCCTCGTACCGAAATAATAATTAGTGTGTTTTATATAGAAATCAAAGGGAAACAATTGTAAATACGAATAGGTTACAAAATCACCACGTGCAAAAAAAAATAAAAGAGGTGTAAATCTTGTCACAATTTTAGGTTATTGCAAAAATTTAACGAGTCAATTTTTATTTTTCAAAACACCCTACGTACGAACATAGTACAGTAAAATGATAAAACAGGAAAAGATTAGGTGGAATGCATTGAGTAAATTTTGGGTAAATGGTACCAACAATAATCGATAATATTTTCGTCTTTGTTTTAACAACTAACTGACGGTAAAAATAGCTGATAGGTGGGAAAGAAATTATATTTTGATGGCTAAATAATGAGTAGAAATACGTCGAAAAAATAATTTCCCATCAAAATAATTAAACTTTTTCGAGTATTTCTGGATTAAGCAATACAAATAGGAAATATACCAGCTGCACGTCCGAAAAACGGGCACTTCCTTTTTGGTTACAGTCCTTGGCAATATTAGGTCTAAGTCGATCTTCAACGAAATTTTGATTATGTCATTTTGTTGAAATATTTAAGATTGTTTTGCCTTGATGATGACCTTTTAAATTAGGTGGAAAACTTTTGCCTTTTTATCAAGACTACACCGTAAAAAACTTTATATTGTTTCGGATATAGAGTTAAAATATTTTATAATTTTTTAATTTTTATATTACTCACCAAACCGACGTCTTGCACTTTCTTGGTGGTGTTCAAGTTATACCGTGTAAGATGGCTCAAGCAGACGTTTTTACAATCAACTATAATTTCTATCCCGAGAAAATCGATGCCCTCTAATAGCAGAATGTCCAAAATCATCGAAATCCTCTTCATCATAACAACCGGGTCAAAGTCCTCCGCGGTGTTCCGCCTATGGGAGAAGAAGAAAACCTTCCTTCCTTCATCGGTCAAAGTCGGTACAAACCCAATGGCCCTGCAGACAAAAAATCAGATTTTGGGATAAGCCCAAACAAAACAAACGTCACCTTCTCTAATGCACTTTCAAGGTTCTATTTACAGAATGTATTAATAATATTGCCCAATTCCACTTACATAACTTGACAGCTGGTCTTGAAAGCTTCCTGAAGAGGGTCGCGATGTGTAAACACCTCTGGGACTATGATCTTGCTGGTGAAGTACATATCCAAATTCTCTTTCGCTCTCTCGACGCTGTTTTTGCAGCAAATAAGGTAATTCTCAAGCCATTCATCTACTTGGATTGACAGCAGCTCTGCAAAACAATTGTGGTGAGATTCAATAAATATAATACATTACCGCAAAAGGAAAATGAAAAATAGAACAATGCAATAATTACAAACTAAATTTTATTATTGAGTCTATAGTTTATTTATTATTTTTATATATAAATGTAACAATCCTGAGTATACCATAAGGAACGACAGCACTTTTTATATGGACCTATCATTTCTCGTTCCACTTTGCCAACATCCCTTTCATTTTTTAACTTTTCAAAAATTTGTAGTATTTACTTATTGTATTTACTGTTTACTTAGTAACCCTGGAGATGATCTAATTAAAAATCGAAACGTTGGCACAATATATAAAATGTTTTTGTCAACATACATCACACAAGACCGCATCTCACGTACTCCAAATAAACATTTTCAATAAGATTTGAGAGCATTTTTTATTTTAACACCCCATTATTTAACGTAAAGAGTTATTTTAAAAAATTCAAACTTTAATGCCGCTTTTAATTTAAGCCGTTTTTAAAATAACAAATGATCGAAACCGAAATTTTATGGTTATATATTTTTTGTTCCATATCTGGTTGAAATTGTACCACACAAAATAGCACAAATATGAACTACTGTCAATAATTTCAATTATTGTGCATAACTGGGTTTTAGCTGGGGGGTATGCAGTACGTTCAAATATCTAGTTCATTTCTGTAACTCTTTATCTAGCTAATATCAAACAAAAACAAAAGTACATATATGTACAAATATTACACAAATCAAATACTAATAGTTTAAACTTCTATGTAGATATTTTCATTTGGAAAAAGAAGGTCAAAAAAAGTATAATATTTTGTTGTTACAAGTCAATATCAATGTGTAATAATTAAAAGTATTTTAATATGTAAAATATTCAAAATATCTTAGAAAGAAAAATTATTGATACTGTAATAGTCATCGCAACTCCTTATATTTCCTTATATTGTGTAGTAGTAAGTAGTAATAAAACAAACTATAAACCTAGAAAATAAAACATTATTTTCGATATTCAATTGTATCTAAAATTTAATTGCTTGCTAATTTGCTTTCTCTAGATTGTGATAACAGATTCCAACCAAAGAGCATGGAGGAATCTGTTTGAGTTAATGCACCATGCCATTCTATAAATTTGTTCTTATGAAACACCGTAAATTTGACATAATGTATTCACGATGTATATTTGAGTCGAATACGTAATACTAAAAAACGAGAAAAACAAAATCCGTTGTAAATTGAAGAGGGTTCCTGAAAACTTTTTCCCCTCTCGCCGAGTTATTTTTTACGACTTCCGTGTTTCTTCCTTTATTCGGAAGCGTCTTCGATTTTTGTTTAAAAAAAAAGGATTCCAACTTTTATACATCCCTTGATCTATATGGAACGGGTCCTTCCTTATTAACTTGTCGTTTGTTCATTCTGGCTGTTTATATTTTGTTGGCCCATATAAAATTTAACTAACAGAGTCCAGTAAATGTTGTCCGAACGTAATTAGCATTTTATAATATTTTGTTTTCTGAAGGTTTTTGTGTTATAACAATCTTCCTGTATTGTTAGCTTGCCTGTCTCGTTAGTAATGTCGTTGATGTTAAAAAGGTTCATAATAAATGTTTTGGCGTGCAAAATTAATTTCATAATCATCAGTTTCAATCAGTCCTCAAGCTGTATGTTTGTATGAATTAATTTAATTTAATTTATTTCTTAGAAATGTGTGGTGTTTAGTGGCCGTTAGTCAATTATTACTCGGAGTTCGTGAGATGCTGTCTGGAGTGACGCTGGTTTTGGAAAAACATTTTCTTTATCGTGCCAACGTTTCGATCTTTATTGGGATCATCTTCAGGGACTGGGATTTATAAGCAATGTTTAAATTTTACAAATACATGTAGGATGTGAAAAAATGATACAACGCTAGAAATTCATTTTTTCACATCCTACATGTATTTGTAAAATTTAAACAATGTTTTGTAAATCCCAGGTCCTGAAGTTGATCTCAATAAAGATCGAAACGTTGGTACGATAAAAAAAATGTTTTTCTAAAACCTACGTCCCACCAGACCGCATCTCACGATCTCCGAATAATTAATTTATTTCTTTTAATTTTCTGGTAGTGTCCTGATTTTCTGGAACCCCATAATAAGATAACTGGTGGGAAATAAATTGATTTTTCCACAATAGTCAGTACGCCAAGCTTATTGCAGAAAAGGCAATTTATTTTCTACCCACCGTCTTGACGTACGGTTTTTAGTCAATTTTTAACGTTTCCTCGTGGTCCCTCTGACGGTTTTTCATCGGCATCCCTTTTAAGCTATCCTCGGGAAGTAAACAAAGTTTCGTGTTTTCGTAGTGCACTGAATAAAAAATCAAAGAAAAAAAAGGTGGATTGATTGGAGTTCAGAAGGGCCATCGAGCGGGGAAAGCTCTCAGGGGTGGGATCATTGAATAACATACGGAAGTACGCTTCACCTCAAACACGTTTTACTGCCTTTTCGTAATAGGGAATTATAATTTAGAAGCACGATTTGCACGCTGGTATGATACACAAATTTTTCCACTTAATCGAGCGCGATACACACAAAACGATCGATTATGATCCATTTATCTTTTATTTCATGCTGCTTGGACGTTCAAGCCAACAATTTCAAACCGAAGCTGTCAGTGAAAATTTATTGATTAATTAAATGAAATAAATTTTAACATTTAAATCATTGTTTAAAGTAATCTTAAATAGGAGGAATTTTGATACGGAAAGCTTTCAGAATTCAGAAAATAATAAATGCCCTTCAACCCCCTCGTATCTAACACATATTTTTTTAAGATTGAACATCTCGAGGCGATTTACGACTGCTCTTCTCCCTCCGAATTATTTATTAGCTATCATAATATTATCAGAAAACAAACCTATATTATCGCCGCCGACATTTATTTTTACCGAAGGGCTTTTGCCCCCTTTTGCGGACATCAAATAAAGTTACGAAGTCGAGATCACCAATCACCATTGGATAAACTGCCAGTGGTATTTACATTCGCATATGTTAAAATTCCGCAGGGCATATTTTCCATTTCTCAGAGTTGTCTCAGTTGATGTAGAATATGTTGGGGTGTAATTTCATATTCACAAATCGTTAATCATTACTTACGCCACGTTTGAGAATCAACTTATACACACAAAACACGGGAAGAATACATAAGAATCATCTATCATTTATTTTTCATCCTCTTTTTCAAACCCTTTATTGAACACGCATGTAATATTGTATTTAATTTAGACATCAGAAAGTACTTGTTAAGACCGTATGAATTGTTGTATCAGTTTGGTCCAAATTCCAACTTCCTTTGCGATATTGTCATCTCTGATTTCACGTACGGCTCGTACATCATCACACATATGACACAAAAGGAAAGAAAGATTGCTGCGCCCTGTTATTATCCCACGTAGGACGTGCGATGAAAAAAAAACTGTGCTTTATAAAACTCTTACAAATAAAAAATATAAGAAAAAAATTGTATAAGATTGGACTTACTTATATTAATATTCAGGCATTTCTTATAGAAATTATACATATTACTTTTAAGGCCAAGGTTCAACACTTTTGGACATAATCATTGTTATTTTTATTCGAAACTAAATCTTCAAACTTAACTGAAGATGTAAATGACATCACAAAAATTTCAGGTCTTTGGACTGTCAAAAATGCAAGTTGATTATGTTTTTGTTTTATCAAACTTTTTAATTTATTATTATATAAATAGATTTTTTATTTTGAAAAATTACGTACAACGTTGGACAATTATTTTACATAATGTAGTCCAATTTTGTTACAAAATGTTTGAATATTGAAACATTTATCAAAATTTTTAATGATTTATGTGTATTCGATAAAGGGACGAATTTGACTGAATCCTCATCACTGTTTGCTTTAAAAGAAAAATAAAATTTTAAATAACATTTTGTTTATTTTTTGAACCAAAAATTTAAACACTTTGGGCTGTCAAAAATACACGTTTTTTAAGTTTTTGTTTCATTATACTGTTTTATTTATTATTATGTAAATAGTAGTTTACTCTGAAAAATTACGTGCAACGTTGGACAATTTGTTTGACATAATATAGTCCAATTTTATTAGAAAATGTTTGATTATTGAAACATTTATTAAAAATTTTAATTATATCACTGTAAAGAGAAGAATTTGACTGAATCCTCATCACCGTTTGCTTAAAAAAAATTATATAATATTTCATTCATTTTCTGATCCAAAAATTTAAACACTTTTGAATTTGAAAAATTATTCCGTATGTTATCAACTTTATGCCTGTTATTCTGTGATATTGAATGTGTCATCCTTCTAAAACAATTATATAATAAAACATTTTTTCTACATCCTACATGTATTTGTTAAATTTAATCAATGTTTGTAAATCCCAGGCCCAGAAGATCATCTCAATAAAGATCGAAACGTTGGCACGATAAAGAAAATTTTTTTTCTAAAACCTACGTTACACCAGACCACATCTGACGATCTCCGAATAATCATTGACTAACGGTCACTAAACACCACAAATATAATAAAATGTTCTAAATATGAAAGAAAATAAACATAAACTTCATTTTTATTTGTAGAAATGTATAAAGATTTGGGCATTAAACTCTATTGTATACTCATTTGACAGAAAGATAATTTCAAACGACGTTTTATTTTTTTATCAGTTAGATTTTAGAAATTGAAGCTAGTCGATATGATTATCAATTTTTAGAGTCAGTAAAATCAACAAATTGATAGATTAAGAGGTGCTGTGATAATTTATGTGTTAGTTCATTTTATGTGTTGTTATGTATCTGCGGTTTGAGTCGTAAATTAGCCGATCTGGTCGGCCTTTTCTATATTTTTATACAAGCTAATTTTCTTTCATTTTGATCATCTCCATTAAGAAAACAAACATAACAAAATGATCAGTGATAATCAGACGTGTGAGTAAGAATTTTTCAGCATCAACTCAAATG